ATTGTTACTTTTTTTTTTTTTTTTTACATGTATGTTCATATGCTTATGAAGTAGCATATTGATTTCTTATACTGTTGCTTTTTCGTGGTTTGTATATGGTCTGTTGTATTAAATAGTTCTATAGTAACACAAATGTGACTTATGTTGAAGTTTCAGTCGCTTCTTAGTATACAATCAGTACATACATAAAGAAAATAGCTGCGATGTCACTGAGGGTGTCTTTAGAAAGTCCTTCACGAAACAGAAATTCGTTATAATTTGCGCGGAAACATGCATGTTAAGTTAGGAACTCAACATGTTGGAGAGCAACAACACTCGAAAATAGCATACTGAATATTCTTCAGATCTCATTTACGAAGAAACTCGCACAAAATTCACATTATATGTATACTGTGATTCTAGAGTCAGTGAATTCTGTTTGCGTTCTGACTTATCTCACTTGCCTGACAGTGACATTAAAACAAGCCCACGAAATTCAACGTGGCAAGGAGAGCAAGATTGCGGCTGTCGTTGGCAAGAGTCTTGAACACCATACTGGTGACAGTATGACTTCGCTCAGTTCCGCCCTCAATTTTGAAGGACAGGTGACGGAAGATGAGGGCATCTGATGTCTAACAAAGGTAAGCAGGTATATGTCCAACGCCCTCCACTATCTTGAACCGGCAGTTTTGAAGGACAGCAACCCCAGGGGGGTACGAGAGTTAGAGTGCCCTCATGCCGCGCAGACACTATACATTTACAAACATCCATACCTTCTCCGAGATTCGAACCCTGGCCTAAAGATATAACAGTAGGCTCCTCTAACCGCTATATTGTCTGGGCGGCAGTGAAGTCCTTTCTAATCATCAATAAAAACAAAGCCCTTTTAATCTATGTATGAACTCAACAAGCAGCATTACAACGTTCTTCCAAAGGACTCAATTTTCAGAAATTTTTGTATAGGGGAGAATAAAATAAGAAATACTGATGCCGTTACAGTTGATAAAGTCTATGATTTATTTTAAAAATTTATGCAACTGAGAGAATATCGGTTTCAAAATAGATACATGCAAAAGATAAGGAAGACACATGAAGTCTAATAAAAAAAATTTCATACATTTTGCAAAATGAAATGCATATTTTATCGCATTCACTTCCCTGTTGTGTAAAATCAGTTTATTACGTAATAACCCAACGTAGAATAAATGCGATAGGCTTAATATTCCATTCTTAATCTAAAAAGCAACAGAGAATAATTTAAGAACTCTAGGAAAGCTGCAGCGTCCTAATTTCTCCTTCTTACCATTCTTCACGCTAACAGTATTAGAAACAAATGTAGAATATTTTTCTATTTATTTCAGCCGAAATCTTTCGCTCAGTGTTCATCGGTTTTATTTTTGTTTCGTATGCATATTGAAATGTATATTATTCCTATAATTTAATAAAAACATTAAAAATAATAATTTTTAATGAAAGATTTAAAGGCTTTACTAATTGTGGCTGGAAGGTAAATGTATGGAATTCGCTTACCAGTTCTGTTCCTAGTTTTTATACATGACTTTAATTTTCAAAGTCTTTTAAAAAAGAGAAATTAAATAGGTATTTGCGGTCTTTAACAAAAATCTGTTCCAAAGATGAGCATTAAATTCATGCTACGAAGAGAAATTCCTCCTTTCGATATAGAGTAACTGTAGTATGCAATTTAAAGGACACATTTCCTTTTCTGTTATTCCTCAAACTATAAATTCAGAAGGACTTTTATATAAAGGAGAATATGCGAAAAATTTATTTATCGGTTTATTCATCTGATGCGTTTGTTTTTAGTGACTAAATCTCTCTCCCCTAAAATATTTTTTCCGGAATGCATTTTATTGAAGAATACACCACTTGCACCATTCCGAGTATTTTTTATTAGCCTTGTTCTGAATGAGAGGACGCTTTTCACTTCTCTGTTTCGCTGTCCCTTTGGCATGGTGATAGGGAAGCTGGCTGCCATAGCCTTGAGCCAAGGTTCGACTCTCAGAGCAGATATGGATGTTTGTAGTGTCTTTGCGGTATGAAGGCACTGCTTTCGAGAGTTTGATGGTAAAAGGAAGAGGGTGAAAGAACCTCAAATACGTTTCCGGGTTGTTCTTCCTCAGAAATGGAGGGAAAATTTTCCTTTCTCATGAGCATAATTAGGTCGTCTCTTGTGGTGCACTTTGGGCAGCATTCATGCTGATTATATGGTTTGCTGACCGGTGGGTTCGGCCAGTGCTCTTAATTGGCTTAATTGTTCCCGAGGAATGCGCTTAGTATCCGACCACTGGGGGGGGGACTGTTCAGTTATTATACAACTACGCATATTTTTGCAAAAGTAATGCAGTGACCATCTGGTGGCGATAGCCTCCTTAAGATGTCTATTTCTGAAACTGACTAACATAAATGAGCATTAAGTACCGAACATCACCTCTTCAATATAACCACTTGTCCAGCAACCTAAAATCGCTTGGAACCGTAGTTGGTCGTCCTGAAAGAAGGTTTACAGCATAGGAAAGGTTACTTGAAATATGGGAAAGTTCAAGAGAACTATGTGCCTAAGGGATGTCAATTATTAAAGATTCGACGCTGGTTATTCTCTTGCGATTTTTTTCGAAGATGTTATAAACCCCTGCTCCCCCTTTAAATACAAATTAAAATTCGGTAAAACTGGATATTACGATCCAATTTGGCCCATTTAAAAAAAAATTGCCAAATCGGTTGTTTTCGCGCGTTTTAGAAAATCGCTAACTCATCATATTTCTATATTAGATGGTTGCGAATTTGAATTAATTTTGTAAACATGCAAAAAAACAGATCATGTAAACATGCATAAATATCTAAACAACGTATAAACATGCAAAAATAGCTAAAACAGGACTTCAAGTAAAACAACAAAAAAAGGGGAAAATGCAGAATCACCCACTGCTTGAGCGCGTTTTTAAGAATTGCACATACTCGGTGTCCATGTACACATCGACTTCATTATTTTCACTTAAAAAAAATCCCAGAATTGCACAAAAATTGCAATGCGCACTCCCTTGACTTTATCCATGTACACATCGACCTATTTTCACTTAAAAAGGTCAAAGAAAATTGACAAAAATCCAATTGTTCTTACTCTCTTGTAAAAAGCGCCAAACAAATAAGCGGGCGATTCTGCACTTTAACCACAGTATTTGAAAGTTAATAATTATATATTTTATAGGATCAACAATATTAAAAGTTTTCATAATATCATATACCATTTTTAAGACAGTAGCAAAATGGAGTAAAGCGTTTTATCACGAAATTTAAGAAATTGTAATAAGCAGTAAATAAGCAATAAATGATCGGAAAGCATTGCTTCATATTTAAGATAAGAGGTTACCAGGTTTGGCGCAATTTCGCTTCACTTGTCGACTGGACCGTAATCTCCAGTTTAGCCTTAAATTCATGTAGGTAATGTGGACGGAAGATACTTCGAGCGTATAACTGTACCAAAAATGCAAGATTGCCATCTTATGAGTGTACTGCGCAGATTCATTATAGTATTTCCCCTGATGTACACTGATTACAGTGTTGAATACAGTATGTAATTTTGAAGTGTTAAAGCACGCTAACCAGCTCTCCAAATTAACATAGCTAAATAGATTTTGTTGCCACAATTATCTTTTTACTAGTTTTGCCTATGATGCGTAATGTGATGGAGCACATGTCGTCAGAAACTTCACAGACCATTCGAACAAATCATTTGCTTATAATCCAAAGGAGTACCGTTTGAAAATGACTGTTATTTCTGAAATGATAATAAACATTGCTATTGAAAATTAGCCACAGAAAGCCTAAATATTTTAGAACTGTCGATGCTCATCTGTCATGCATCATCTTATACACATTTAAATGCATACTTATCAACCAAAAATAATTGAATAATGGACCTTACAACAAGAAACAATATCTTGATAATGAATGCAATTGAACTCTCGATATTCTAGCCGCATACGATGCATTCTTTTAAGAACATCCAATAAAATCTAACAGTAACAATATGTCCGTCGGACTTGTGTTGTAGTTGGGACTAATCTCACTTGTCTGATAAGCCCACGAATTCATCGTGGCAAGGAGGCAAGATTACGCCTGTCGTTCGTAAGAGGTGACAATACGAGTTAATTATTTATACGCAACTTTTTTACCTGGAAATTTATGGTTTTAGGGCATAAGAGAATAAATGTTTCGTTTTAAGGCATACTAAAACATCAGTATATTTTCACTTGCAACGGTATTTTTCAGAAAATTGGAATTTCTTTCAACGATAGCAATCCTATTTTCGAAAATGTTATGAAACACATTCTTACTTAATTTATTATAAACTCTAAAAGAGCTACCCAGAGATAAGACATTTCAGCAGGTACTCATTAAGAAAATCTCTTTCTTTCTAAGTTATTAACTAGTTTATAAAAAACGAAACGCCAACTTCTCATATAATCTCTGCCTTTTTCAGATTCCTTCTTAGTGTAATTCCTATGTGTACAATATAAATATGTTTTCTCTTGCAGAAATAAATTACTTAAATAAATATATCCGTAACGTTAATTAAAACTGCTTATGCAGCTTCGTAAATTCAAAGACAATTCTGTCTAAAACTGCCATCATGTGTGCAACCAGCATTCTTTACCTAAGCTGGCCGCTTCTCTACTAGACAGCTAGATTCAGTTGGTTCTTACTACCATACCTACAGTTATTTTCTTGAGCTAGCTTAAGGGGAAAAAGGAGGAGAAAAGAAAAAGAAAATATTTAGAATTCGGAACTGTTCAAATCTAATCTAAAATTAGTTATAATAATCTTAAAATATGAATATGACAACGCTATTTTTAATAAGCCATCTCTGTAATGATATAGAATTTTTGTTAATTTTTTCCCCTCTAGTACGTAGATTATTTTTGCTTTGCACAGTTTTCTACATTGTCTGTTCCTAATATAAATTATATGACTTTAATGATAAAACTTTATTTATTTTTCAGGTTTCCTTACTACCATGATAATAAACAAGGCTGGCAAAATTCTATTCGTCACAATCTCAGCTTAAACGATTGTTTTGTCAAAGTGCCAAGAGAAAAGGGAAAACCTGGAAAAGGAAGCTACTGGACTTTAAAAAATAATGGAGAGGAAATGTTCGAAAACGGAAATTTTCGACGCAGAAAACGCCGAACGAAAACGGCCATTCCGAAATCAACCGAACCTTCCCCAAATTCCTTGATGGAATCTTTCTCCAACAAAGCAAGTAATGTGAATTCTCCGGCAAAAAGTGAAAAAAGAACCGCATCTAAAACCTCCAAAAACAATTTAAGTACCCATAGGCCTGGTGTTATAGTTAATCAATCCGTTATGAAGGAGAAAAAACAGCCCAAATCTGGCAGTGGTGATGTGACTTCAGACAACAAGACTGATGCATTACGGACTAAGTCAAATTCTCCGCTGACTCCAAAAGCTGCAAACTTTACGATAGAACGTTTGATCGGAACCTCTTCTTCACCTAATGAAGCAAAGAAGGATAGTGTCTCTGATGCACAGGAAGACTTGACTCCTTCTGAAGAGTCTCGATCCTCGTTTACTTACGACCAAACATCTAGTCTCATATCCCCACTCATGTGCCAACAGCTTATGGTTCTAAATAAGGACAAATATCTTACCACTCATCATCCATCGTCTGTCATGTCTCAGTCATCTATGTTGTATTCGCATGTGAACTTGTTCAACTCCAAACTTATTCCTTCTTATCCAGGCACTCTTGGACTAGCCTGGCCTCAAATTCCAGTTTTGACTGGACTGACAGATGTCCTTAATCACGCACAAGGAGGACCAATTATACCCCCATGGTTTAATTTTCCACCTGCAACTAAAGCTTTGTGGACAGGATCTCCCATGGAAAGAGTGTCTCCTTCAGACGGGGACAGATGGCGTGAATGATCTTGTTGTCATTTGTTGACTCTTACTTTTCAGTGAGAGAAATCATTCATTATCCCTGTAAAGCATTACAATCAGAACTCAGTAACTGTTTTCAAGGCAGAAGAGCGAATAGATCAAATCATGTGTATAATCATGTCTGTGTTTCTGTGTATTTCTTCTCGTAAACCATGCCTTTATTCTGATGTTTAACTGAAGGAAAATTATACATGGAACATCTGACTTTACAAGAAGCATGCATTAGATCTTATGTACATATGCGATATTGTTTTAATTAGTCTAAAGTTGCAATATGTGGAGTGAAATTTTATTACTTTCCTTAATGTTTATTGAAAATAAATAAGTCTCACAGTTTATATGAAACTTTACGTTTAATGGATGTCTTTATTTTTTTCCTGTGCGTTTTATATTGAGATTTAATTTCTTTAAACAATTAAATTTTATTTTTATTTATATTTATTTTTTAATATGTTAGGAGTAAAGTTTGAAATTTATTTAGAGCTTCCCATCTTTTAATCTCTTATTTATATATTAAAATTACATTAAAATAAAATTTCATGAGTATTTTTACTGCAAACAGCTTACTTAAATTTGAAGTTTTGTTGATAAGAATTTTTTATTCTTCTTAAATAACTAATATAATTCTTTCTTATAATAAAAGTAAACTTTTATTATCATTTACGTATTCTCGTATATTCTACATTTTGTTCTCATTTACTTTCATCTCAAAGATATTTGTGTGTGTTTTATAAATAGAAAATATACATATTTTAAAAACCATTCTAAGTAAACGCGCTCTTTTACATCTTAAAAGAAGGAAAAGAATCAGAATTCAGCCATCTGGTTTCATATTGTTGCGTTTTTCTTTTCTGACACTAGTTGTTACGTTATTTTCTTCCTTCACGTTCGTACGGGGTTCGTAGATTTGGAGAGAATAATAACGACACTTGATGAAGTATCGAAACACACTTTATTTACCAATATTAATCAGATAGCTCCAAAATCACTTTTACAGTCGTCGAACTGTCATAAACACGCTGACACGTTCAGCGACACAGCCTTCACACTGTCGGGCAATAACGGTGGAAACAGCTTCACTGCAAAGCACCCGAGTACAGCCCCCAATTCTGCTTGGTCGTTCTCGGAACTCCACGTACTCTCGAGACTCTCCACGCGATGCACTCGACGATACACAAGAGCTCGACTTAGCACAGTCTAAAACAAAAACTCTACGATGCACTAATTCGCGATGCACTAAAAGACTCTCTCGATGCACTCGACGAGCAAGTCGGCGCTAGACTTCGAGACACTCGCTCAATGACTGACTATCAGCTCGCTAGACGAGGCACACACACTAACTGACTGCGGGCCAGCAGGGTTTATACAGCTTTCGGCTTGTGTTCGAGAACATTCTGGACTAAAGCGGTAAGAATTCGTTCCAGAAGGTTCTCCATCCACCCATGGCATATCGCCAATTTTGTCGCCAAATAGGCGATTTCTCACCAAATGTGGCAACCCTAAAGCTGCTTCCTATCAAGAATCCAGAGGCTATTCGCGCATTTTTTGAACGATTTTCATTATATTTACAGAAACATTTTACCTAAAATTTTTGTGTTTTGAATTTTCACTTTGATAACTCTTAATCTTCACCATCTTCCTATACCGTAATTTCCAAGACAATAAAGCCTTTTATAATACCGAAAGAGGTTGTTCATCCCATTCCTCTTGAACAGTTTTCGAGAGTCCGAGGAGAATTGTAGGTCGACGTTTGGACAATTCGTTTTATAAAAGTCCAAAAGCAAAAAAATCTGTGGATGGTACGTCAGGAGATTTAGAAGGGATATGAGTGAAGGGTATGTCCTCGATACCCGTTTATTGTTGCGTTTGTTTCAGGAACTTAACATTGGATTTTGACGTGCGGCTGCTTGCTTTGTCTTGATGCAGTTCTACTGATTAATGGCACTGTGTGTAAAACGAAGGTATTTATTTCCATTTGAGAACTGGGTATAAGATATGTTCCTGATAATATATGGAGTTGGTCTTAACATGTTCTGCACTGTCTTTAATTTTTATTTGCCGTTATATCAACCAGCAACAATCCTAAATCCCTCAAAACTTTCTTTAAATTATTTGAACACGTTCTAAGGTTGTTTTCTTCCCTTCTATGATAATAAATGGATCTCCTATTATTGTGGTTACTTAAGTATATCCAAGCTTCATCTACTGTGACAGCAGTTTACCATTTTTGTTCGAATAATAGTTTCTCATAGAGAATTCTGCAGCGCGCTCTGCTTTTGGCGATATGTCGTGAAAAAACAGGATGCACATTGAGTTTTTTTTCATCTTTTTAAGAATCAAATCAGCATTAATCATTTTTTTTACAATCGATACTGAGCATTTTAATGATTATGCAACTGTTTTTTGAATTTGGGGATTTTATTTTAACACTAAAGTTCTTACCTTTTTATCATTCGAAAAATTCTGTTTTTTCCTTGGATATGTATTTTGAACAATTTTTCACCTTAAAACCAAACTTTGACTTTTTTACTTTTCTTATTCATAATATTATCTATCGTTGCTTTATATACCGGAAAATCATGTCTTTCACAGCATTTTTTAATAACTACGAATCATTTTCTTTGGAAAGAGCACAAACGTAGCCTTCCGCCCACTGCTTCTTTAAAAGCGCCATTTTTGCATCAAAATAAAATTGTCAAGCATCAGATGATAATTTAGACTTTCAAAACTATAGTTGTAGTTAAAAAAATTTTACAATCAGGGGATTTTATTCAAGCCGTCTAAAAAGTGTGCGAACAGCGTTTTAGTCATTACACAGTGTAAATCAAATTCATAGTAGATATATATTTATTTTACGAAATTATCATAAGTAGATTGATATAAAAATGTTCACTAAAAAACTTGCAGTTTTACATATTTACCAACGTTATTTTGTGTTTAGTTTTGGAATAGCTCTTTGAGTTTTCCATTTTGTCTCTTTATGCGACGGATAAGGAAAAAAATTTGCTTTACTACTACACACTTCATTAATAAAACACGCCGTCTGTTACAAATTAGCTTCTCTTTTCCAAGTCAAAAAAGCTTTTAAGAAGATCCTTAAAGGATAAAATTCACAAGATAAACTTTCCAAATTAGTCAATTAAGAATTCTTATCAACTAGAAAGCTGGCACATACTGAGTAACCGAGTAATAAGTCTGCACAGGTCAATTGCTGTTATCACTATATCCACTCGATAGGTTCTTCATAATAAATAATCTACTTATTTTTTGAGTGGATGATTTCGATAAAAAAAAGGCGACCAGACAGGAGAGACCGAACTAAAATCTAAACGGATAATTTCACTTAAAATTCCTCTTCTTACACAGCTAAATACAATGTACCTTCTCGTGGTGATCTTCCTAAGACAATCATTCCTGAAATAAATCGGCATTTTTGGAAGAACAAAAAAGTTCGTTAATGAAACATTATCTTTAAAAGACTACTATCTCTACAAAAGATCAGTCATTTATTCTCTGTATTCTGGTTGAGAAATGAGGTATGTGACTATCTCTTTTGAGGAAAACATTTGAATTACGTAATAAAATGCTAGGAATGCAAAAAAATAGGCACGTTTCGTGGCAATGTTTGATTATTATTGCATATTTAACTTTAAGTGTTAAGAAAATCTTTTGTCTTTGCCTTTCTCAACCAAAAAGCTTTTTTCCCCCGTTTTGTATGAAAACTGTCTGGAACATCAATTACAGCTAAAAGAACACATTGAAACTTTTCTGTATTAAAAAAATTGCATTGATAAAGGATTGACAATTTTTTCTGTTTGTGCAACATTAATATCGCAAGCTTATATTTGTGTTATCACATTGCATTGAAGTTTTTCTTTCACGTCTTAGTCACAAAAATTTAGATTTATCTTTATTTAAGCTCTGGCAAAACGTAAAAAAAAAAAAAAAAAAAAGAGGTTACATGCGCGTGATATGAACGAAATATATCGAACATTTTAAGCCTTCCTAAAGTAAGAATAAATACAAAGTTATTAGTTCTGATTCACAGTGAATGGTAACCTCCCTAAGATCATCATCAGTATTGAACATCACTTCTCTAAGATGACCACCTCCATAGAAGACCAAAATGATTCAATAGAAAAATTCACTGCAATTATATTTGACTAGATTGTCATATGCAGTATGCAATAGGAAAGATGGTCGCAACTTTAAAGGATTCTAGAAAATGGCAAAAGTACAATTACCTTAATACAGTGCATTGTGGAATCCCAAATGTGAATGGAAAATACAATAAGTATGAAGACCATAACGGTGGTGTGGTGGTGGTGTATTTAATTATGGCAAAGCACACTAGGGCTATCTGCCTAAGGGGAGGGATGCCTTCGTGGAAGACTTTCTACGGGAAACTGACTCGTACACATGGGGAAAACCACGAAAACGCCCATGCAGCCAGCCCGTTCGCGGGATTCGAACCTCGGACCGAACTACCAGTGTTCAGCGACTTTACCGCTCGGCCGCTGGTGGGCCAGAACATAACAGAAAATATCATTTTAATCAAATAGTTTTACAAGAAATAATTTTTTATATCTACAAGAATTATTCAAATGACCGACCACCAACTGCAGAATATGCAACACAACTATGACGGAATGACTGGCATATACTTTGTTACGTAGTTCTGTGATACGAATTCTGGCGACAATGTCTTCAAGAGACTCAGTCTGTGTCTCGTAGGCCACCCTTTTCAGATATCAAGCATTTTTTTACCCAAATGGCGGTCACTTTCCTATAACGGCATTGACCACTGCTAAGGCCAGAAGTGGTGCCCATTTTATTGTGGAGGCAACTAACAGGCGGCCACCGCTATCATCCTATGAAAGGACAGACAGTTTTACGTTCTTGCTTTCTCTGGGATTCGAACCCGTGCCCGTTGGTATCGCAGTCAGGCTCCCCTAACTACTATACCGTCTGGGCGGCTAGATATTCAAGAAATCGAAGCAGAAGACTTGGGAATCTCGGGATTCAAAGGATGATTCTATCACGCCTAAGCCATTGTACGAAAACTGAGCATTCAAGTAGTTTCGCGTTTCCATTTTGTTATAGGCTGCCTTTTTGTCATGCTGAAAGCATGTACGCACGGATATTTGCTAGAAAGCCCTTCCGTAAATTAGACAGGATTTTCTAGGAAAATACGGTTATTATTTCCGCTAAGGTATTCTGGTTGGATATACATCCCAATTAGGAGATTGCAGATGAACCTCGTCCACACATTCTTATAAATATCAAACATATTTACTGTAAATATCCGTGATTAAAATGATTTCTCACTTTCTATGTTCTTTGTACTTGCTGTGTTC